AAAATTTAATTACAAACATTTTTTTCCTCTTCCATTTTCGCCTAAAATCAACTCTTGAAAATATACATAATTAAATAGGAAGAAAAATATGACATTTTTCGAATTTTTTTAACATATTGTGCCGCCAAGAGTTAAGCCCACATTTTTTATGTGCATAGAAAAATTTTCATTTCTAGTGATATTTGAAAGCCGAAAAGCCAAAAATCTCCGTGGATATACGATTCACCCAAATATGGACTTTTTGAAGTAGATACCGTCTGGACTATTACTGATTGGTCTACTATTGGTTGAGAATGTTGAATGAGAAAGTTGTCTGTAGTTTTCATGCGACATATGTTATCTGTAGTATTTTTGCCTCCTGATCACGAATCCGGTGTCAGAATTGAGCTATCACATCACAGGAATTTCCTAACCTCAAAAAAACAGGTTAAAAATAGCAAAAATTCACGAAAAAGCGCTAGGAAACATACAATTTTTTTTTTCTATATTCAAATGTTCATTTATATGGCTCAGACCCCGCCGAACTGAATCCGTGGTCAGAATTGTTGGTTCTTTTGTGCGATAATTTGTGGCACACATTTTTTTTTCAGTCCCCAAGTTAATTTCTACACATTCATAAAAGTTTTAAAAACATTTTCAACAGTAATGTAATGGCACAAGTTCCAATATATGTATANAAAGGCAAATGCATACTGTATATAGCGTAGGCATGCATGGTACATAATAATGTTTTTATAATTTTACTAACCTTTATTCTTAAATGACATTATTCGTATTTAAAAAAAAATTTCAACAAAATATTGCACATACTCTAAATGTTTTGAATTGCAACAACATACACGATACACAGATATATATGTACACATTAAAAATATATAAATAAAAACGCACAATGTAACAAATATAATAATTATTGTTCTTTGTAGAAGATATATTTTCTGTAAAATTAAAAAAAAAATGAAAAAAAGGACGATAATAAAAAATAACCCTTGATTTGGGGGTTGGATAACATTCCATATGTTTAAAGGTATTTGTAGTCAAATTGCAAGACGAAAAAATGTTTTAAAAAACCACTTATAAGAACCAATCCTTATTTTAGGGGTTGCTTGGTGGTCTAGTTGTCATTTTTTCGACGAACTACCCAGTTTAAAAAAAATTAAGCTCTACGTCAAGCGGAAGCCGAGATATTGCAAAATTTTTGAGCAGGCACGATTTTGAATCACACGAGCTGGTCCCCCTCCTCACGCCGACTTAACGAGCTAAGATAATTTACCTCCACTTTGAGTTACTATACGTTTTTTATTTATTCATGAATCTTCGTTGAATGTATCATAAAGTTTAGACCTTTGTGCTTATATAGCATTAATTTCAGGCCTTAATGTTTATAAACAATGGAGCTGTGTTTTTTTTTAAATAGGGATATCTCGGCCCAGAAAGGGCGTAGGGTATATATTTTTTAAATCTTTATTCTTTTACCAGCTAGTCAGTGATATGACTGTCGTGTTCCTGAGACCAGTAGTTCCGGAGTTACTTCTTTTTATTTATAAAAAAAATACCCCATTTCTGCTTTGAAAAAAAAGCAACAAAATTGAACTACCATAATTTTCAGATTTTTAACTATAATTTGCCGGCGTTTAAATTGATTTTTATGCACTTAATGACCTAGCTCAATCGTTTAAAAAAATCGTGTTTTGGACAAACAAATGCAATTATTCATAAACTATTGGACCGATCGGGCCCAATTTGTGGCCACATAAAAAGGGTTATAATACCCTCATTTGTAGTAGATTAAAATTCGTCTATGACCATTATTCCAAAAGCTATTAACAATGATGTGATGCAATTGACCTTTCTTCCTGTCTAGGGCAAATGGAAAGGGAAAAAAGGAATGCACTAGACAAATTTCTACCTACGGTTCACTCACAAAATCAATTACACAAAATTATTAATTATTCCAATGTAGCGAAATATTCAACAAAATGTTATGCGTGCGTGAATCGAACTAACTACTACTATTAAAAAAAATAATAATAAAAAATATTCTTCAAAAACCGGTGGCCGAACGCCAGCGGTTTGCCAGGACATGTCTTTCACATATACCGGGCGTATTCACTTATATATTCAAGCCTGTCAAAGTTCAAAATAGGCGACCGGGTGAGAATAAGCAAATACAGAGGGGTGTTCGATAAGGGCTACACCCCTAACTGGTCCAATAAAATTTTCACCGTATCACCGTATTAAGAGGACGGATCCTGTTACATACTTACTGTCTTATACTCAAAGTCAGCCAATAACCCTTTATTGTTTCTATACGGAAGAACTGCAGAAGGCCAAGCATCCTGACGTCTACCTTATGGAGCGGATAGTGAGGAAGAAGGGCGATAGAGGCCTAGTGAAACGTCTGCGATTTGATAGCACTCATAACAGCTGGATTGATAAAAAATCACTATTATTAAATATTTATTAATGTATTATATATTAAATTTTTTATTATTAAGTATATATCACTGTATCTATTTAATTTAATAAATTAATTTAAAAATATATCTGATTTTTATTTATTTTTTAATTTTAAGGGGAAATAGGGAAAATAAAAGAAAATAATTTTAATTAATTATTTTATTAAATATTTATATAATACATACATATATTATACAGAACATATGGAAGAGGTTAAATTTGATTGATTTTGTTTACAAGTACAGGTTCAATAATATAAGATAATTTTTTTATTCTTTCTTGAAATCGGACACGGTCGATTGCGTCATGCATCCAACGCTCACCACATCTAGCTGTCCTATGGGCGTAAGCCCAGTGGATTATGTACCGGGTGTTGGTATGATCGTTGAACTGGACCCTCTTTTTGATCGGTGATGTGGACATTACGTATCTTNGAATGGGCTCAAATATACGACGCCATTGGGGAAGAATATTGGACGCAAATAAAATCATCTGTGAGCTATTTATTAAAACAGGCTCTATACCATAACTGTGTATCTAAAAGAAAAAATAAAAACGACTATGTTAAAACTAAAATATCTCGAAAGAAATAAATAATTTTTAAATCATTCTTTGTTTTATTTCTGTCTAATTATTAATTATCACCACAATCCAACTCACCGTTTAAGGCCCCAGAGATAGACCTAATCATAGCTGACAAATGACACCTAATTTACTAACTTGGAATTGAAATGCGCGCCTTCGAGTGAAGTACAACGTTGTTGAGCTCCGGTGTCTTTTTTGCTGTTTAAGTGGTAAATCTGTAGTAATAAATAGTGGAAATTCAACCAGGTGATATAAAACTGTAAAGACGAATATGAACAGTTTGAGCTTCTTCGAGAACATAAGTGCAAAGTGCAACGTGTAAGTTTGCACCTTTCGTTCATTCTCCAATATATCAATTTCCAATCTATAGTTGTACACAATTGATAAAGTCGTCACCATGACTGCTGAACTGAGAAGTGCCAAGAAAGTGATTCATAATGAGGAACTTGAGCAGCTTATCAATAATGTATGTAACACTTTCGTCAACAAACTTGAGGTAAAATTTGATAAGAAGTTTGCCAAATTAAATGATAAATTGTCAGAAGTTACTGATAGTATTAAAGGTCTCAACGAAAGTGTTAAATCAAATAAACAAGAGATCCAATCTGTGATAACTACAACTAAATATTTAGAACTTTCTAATAAACGCAATACTCTTCGTTTTCATGGAGATCCAGAAACAGAAAGTGAGTCGGACTTAAATTCACTACTTTCGATAATTGGGAATACAATGAAAGTTCGATGTGTGCAAAGTGATGTAGATTTTTTGTATCGTCTTGGTAAATCTACAGAGTCCAATAGGCCTAGATCTATAATTGTCAACTTTGTTACTAATATTAAGCGCAATGAAGTATACGCCGCCAAGAGATTGCTGAAGAATTCTGATATATCTATATTTGAGGACTTACCGAAGAATCAGTATGAACTTCTATTGCAAGCTAAGAAGAAATACGGCAAGAGAGATGCTTGGACCAGTGGGGGAAAGGTATACGTTTTACGCAACAATAAAAGGTGTGTTATTAATTCAATAAACGACTTATAGTTTTATCGGTGTGGCCAAGCTGTAGGTAACTTTTTTCTAGGTTTTTGTATCTCTTGCTGTTGAAGTTTTTTACGCAGCTAGATTGTACTATCTGCGTATTCTACTTTGTAAAAGTTTATTTTACATATTTCTTTATTGATATGAAAGTAAATTAAATATGTTTGTATACTTATCTTTGACAAATTTTAAATAATGGCTATGTCTATTTAATACTTTTTATGTTACACTGTTTTCTTTGTCCTTAATTATTCTGTAATTGAGTATTAATTTTAGTATCCTAATAATAATTGCAATGGCAATTGTAGTACAATTATGTATGATTTAGTATGTATTAACCATATTCAGTTTTTATTCATTTATTGAAAGTTGGAGCTCAATTAACAATTAACAGCTAATAATTCTATTGTGGCTAATTTAAGCTTTTCGCATTTCAATGTACGCTCTTTGTGTGCGTCTTTTACATGTATTTCAGAATTGATAACTGCAGAATCTTTTGACATATTTGGTTTGTCAGAAACGTGGCTTGATTTGTCGGTACCTGACTATGGGTTATACATTCCAAGCTATAATCTAATTAGAAAGGACAGAGCACGTACAGGCGGGGGAGTTGCTTTTTATGTCAAGGATACGATTAAAACTAAGGTGTTAGATGTCCCTGAAAATAAATTGTTAGAGCAATTGTGGATCACAACAACAATTGCAGGTAAGAGGTTGCGTTTTGGAACCGTGTACAGGCCACCCTCGAATAACTTACAGTTATGTTTAGAAGACCTAGAAAATATCATTAGTAATTTACTACCCGATTTTGACTACGTTTTTGTAGGTGGAGATTTTAATATAGATATGCTAATAAATAGTAGTGGTTCTAGAGTCATACAAAGACTTTTAGATAAATATAGCCTAAATCAATTAATAACCGAACCAACTCGTGTTACCGAAAATTCTTCTACACTAATCGATTTAATTATTGTTAATGACATTAATATGATTATGGATAGTGCGGTCATAAGAATGTGTGGCATATCGGATCCTTCAATGGTGATGTGTAATATTAAACTAAAAAGAGACAAAATATCTCCTGTTGTACGAATCTATAGAGATTTCTCTAATTCTTCTTACGATATTTTCTTAGAAGATTTGATGGCAGTAAGGTGGGATACTATATACACATTCGATACGCCCAGTGAAATGGTAAACTTCTTAAATGATAATTGCAATATTCTATTAGATAAGCATGCACCTTATAAAACATCTAGGTTCACTAAACCTCCAGCTCCTTGGCTGACAAGTAATCTTAAAAAAATGATGAAACTAAGGAACAGGGCTTTTACTCGATATAAACAAAACAGAACTGCACAGGTATGGGAAGAATATAAGGAGCTGCGCAATTTAGTAAATAGATCTGTCAAAGCAGAAAAAAAGGCTTATTTAAATTATAAATTAAAAACTGATTCTAAAAATTTTGTCAATTAGTAACGAAGACCCCAATGTTGTAAATGATTTTTTTATAGATTCTATACCTAATGTACCGGTTTCATTGGAAAGTTTGTTTGGTTTTAAGAAAAATGAAATCTAACGCTACAGGTGCGGACGGAATGAACTTAAAAACCTTAGACTTATTTTTTCCACATTTAATTGAGTATTTCACATTTATTATAAATAAATGTCTCACTTCAGGAGAATTTCCCGATATTTGGAAACACGCTTATATATGTCCTGTTCCTAAAATCACAAATCCCACAAGCCTGTCTCATTTTAGACCCATCAGTTTATTACCTACTCTTTCTAAGGTTTTAGAGAAAATAGTATGTGAGCAACTTAATTCTTATTTTACTGCAAATCATATTATACCATTGCATCAATCGGGATTTAAGGCTAATCATAGCACAACTACAGCCCTTTTAGATGTCACAGACAATATACTTCGATCAAATGACAAATATCTTAGTACTTGCTTGATTCTTTTAGATTTAAGCAAGGCCTTTGATACGTTGGATCATAACATTTTGCTTAAAAAACTTAAATATTTCGGTCTTGGAGATATTCCTCAATTATTTTTTAAAAATTATTTATGCAACAGGCGTCAAAAGGTGTTGTGTTGTGGTAAATCTTCAGATTTCAGGGTCACAAATAAAGGAGTTCCTCAGGGTAGTGTATTGGGCCCTTTATTATTTTCAGTCTACACTGCAGACTTTTCTACATACCTATCTAGTTGCAAAATTCACCAGTATGCTGATGATACACAGGTATATTATTCATTTCCATATAGTAATATTAATATAGCCATTGATGAAATAAATTTAGACTTGCGTAAATTTTCACTAC